TCTTTTAGACACTTGACAAATGACTTCCAGTAAACTGGAGAGTCCTTTTCAATACAAAGGCCCAAAGTGGAAGGTTCCCCTCCCTCCTGGTCAATCCCTGCTTTCCAGTGGGAGGAAGACAGGAAGATGTTTTATGAAATCACTGGTACTTAAAACAGTGTTTAAAACTCAATATATATTTTTAAAGTCTTTAACATAGAATTGGCATATGGTATTCTTGCCTGCTACAATGTATTCCCCACATGGTTGCATACATATTAAACACATGACATTGATATTTGTCACGGGGGAATGTCTGCTAGAGGAGCATGAAATGTTACTGTTCTGAGCTAAAGAGTCTTCTTATTGAATCAAACCCTTGAGATTACCAAGTACTCAAGTTCTCCATGCTGGTTGTTATTCACACATTTATCCAAAATCCCATGATCTATAAAAGTGTGATCACCAGCTACCCAAAGGACTGTGTAAGAGAAAATTCTGTATCAGTGTAGGTCCATGTTCTGTAAAGATTCAGAGTGTATGTCAGAGTACTGAGACTGGGAAGGCACTAAATATGAGACTAGAGAATACTGCATAATTCGTAATTTCAAAACTTTTGACAATTAACACGTCCATAAATTGTGTCAATAAATGTGTTCTGTGAAAATTGTTTTAATAGTACATTTAACCAGTTTACAGGACTTATACTTTTGTTGTAACACATTGTGATAAAAATATCTCTTACATCCAAGAGACTGAAACTTTTGCAGGACCACACAGCCAGAGTGAACAATGCACTTTGAAATTCTTCAGACTGTGATCATACTCTACACTAATACTGTTTGTTTAACCTGACTTTAAGTTACTAAAGTCACACCCAATGTTACTTTCCTAGGATTTCCCGTATAGTCATCTTCTGCAGCCTAAGATAATGCATATCTCTAACCTTATTTTACATGATTTCCTTGCTCCTGACTCAAGAATAATGCATTCCTGTTTGTATATGTATGTTATGCTGTGGGTATAGCTCTGTATAAATAAAATGCTGATTGTCCAGTAGCCAGGCAGGAAGTATAGGTGGAACAAGCAGAGAAGAGAATTCTGGGAAGTGGAAGGCTGAGGCAGAGAGACACTGCCAGTTGCCCCATGACGAGGAAGATGTAAGATACCTGTTAGCCATGAGCCACGTGGCAAAGTATAGATTAATAGAAATGGGTTAATTTAAGATAGAAGAACTAGATAACAAGAAGCCTGAGCCATTAGGCCAAACAATTTAAATAATATAAGTGTCTGAGTGATTATTTTATAAGTGGGCTGTCCGACTGCCTGTCTTGGTGGGACCTGGAGAGAAAACTCTAGCTACAGTGTTATGATAACTATTGGCTGAAAACACAAAATGTAGATTTAAATAAATTTTATAAAATAAGCATCAAAAATTGCTGAAGACAACATATACAGATATTGTTTAGTAAAAATGTTTTTTTTATAGTACTGCTTTTTATTTGGGTCAGCTGGAATAAGTTAATAATCCCTAGTAAAACACTGTTAAAATTTTCTGTAAAAAATTCCTTAGTCTTTTTCCATGTGATGCTCTCTGTGCTGTTCAATAAATACAGAACAAAGAACTTTGTTAAGGATTCAACACACACACACACACACACACACACACACACACACACACAAACACATGAGAGAGAGAGAGAGATAGTAAAAGAGTCAGAGATGGAGAGACTGAGAAACAGAGACAGAGAGATGGAGAGACAAAAGTACAGAGAGGCAGAGGCAAAGGGGGGGCTCAAGATGACAGAGAGAGCAAGAAAGAGACAAATAAACAGAGACACACAGAGAAACAGAGAGGTGTAGAGGGACAGACAGATAAATACTGCAATCAAGAGCCTGCAACAGGGACAACAGAAGACATCCCAGTAAGAGTCAAGAAGGATCAAGAATTCAAACGTGAGCTTGTTCTTGGTTAAAGGACATCAAGGAGAGTGCTTTGATTACATCCCTTAATGTGATGTGGAAATGCAATTGATGAGTCTTAGTTTATTGTTGATTTGTTAATACCAATACATTTTTATGTTGTGTGAGGACTCACCAATACATATAATATATCCATTTGGGGCTCTGTGTGAATAATATTTAATTTTTTAAAGCATTTCAGAGCACTCAGCGTGAGCCAAAGATTGCCTAAACTCTTGAGAGGGAATCTGGAAGATCCCTTGTTGAGAATGTGAATTTGGACATCTCTCTGTCATCAAAAGCAACAGGAGCCTGGACAGCTACAAAAAGCTCCTCCCTCACTTGGTTCAGTGGTGGAGAGGTCCCTAAGGAAAGGGAAATTTGGACTATGCTGATCAACAGAAATAGTAGGTGGATCTCAGAAGCAGGGGTACTATGCCCTGAAAGCTTCCATCAAGTAATAAACTTTTATTTCTTTATATCTCTTTCTGTCTCTGGTCCAGTTTTGTTCTAGTTCATCTTCCATCACAAGGAAAGAGCAGGGCATTCCATGTAGTGCACCATGCCTCTGCCTTCTCTCTTTTTGCTCTGAAAATGCTCTCACTGAGGGGATTCTTTGCCTCTTACAGTTCTTGTCCTTTCACAGCAGATAGAAAATTCACAATAAGGAATTTGGCCGAAAGTCCAAATCAATGATTAATTAAGATAAACTCATCAACTATTGACTGCTACTAAGAGACATCCATAACATTCTCATCATGTGAGTCATTCATGATCTTGTGGGAAAATATTGATCAATTATGCTGCTCTGTAGGATCAGTTATACAAAACTAATCCTTTGAACAAGGTTGGCCTAGCCATCACCAAAAGGAAAAAGAAGTCCCACAAAAATGTCTACCTACTAAGTCTTTTTCATCTTCTCTGCATACTTCCCTTCTGTACATTAATATATTAATAATTTTTACCTATAAGATGCCTTAAAGAAGCTTCTCAGGCAGGAGAACTATTAACTATGTTTCTAGTCATTAGAGTAGTATGGCAAATCTTGAACAAAGAAGCCTCCATTCACCATATAAAAGATCTAAAAAAATGTTACAGAGAGATAGTTTGAAAGTGATTTCATTATAGGGACGATAGCTGTTATGGCAAATATTTATGAAAGGATACCCTTTGCCTGCAAAGCCCTTGTGAAAACAATTATCACCACCCCTCAGTTTAGACTGTGGCTTCAGTATGGATGGGTGACTGCTTGTCCACTGCTGCTCACAACTAAAGGCAAGAACCCCCTAGAAACATTACTTATCATCAGTTTGTCATACAAGGAAACTTTTAAAGAGTGGCCCAACATTTTGCCAGCCCGAAAGTGGTTGACAGCCAAAGCAACCAAGTTGTTATAAGAGCTTGGAATAAATTTCCTGATATCAATACTTCCACAAGCACATTTCCCACTATAGACAAAACTGTAGGCAGAACTTTATGACATTGTCAACCATCGACAGCAAGCTATAGAATGAAGGCAGATAATAAGGAAACTGCTTCCACTGCGTCATTTTCATCTGCTTATTAAAATGAAAGCTGCAACTGTAAAAAGCTTCATTGTATTTGCTTATACCTCTAAGGCTATTGCTGATTTCATAAAAGCATGCCAAAATGCTGGCACAAAGGAACATAAGGCTCATATTCTAAACATACTTTGATGACCTCCAATATGTTTCAAATGTGGAGAGATATAGCCATTTTCATATGTGTATGTGTGTGTGTGTGTAAATCCTTGCTAATCATCCTCAGTATACTAAATCACCCCCTAAAACACCTTCAAAATGTAAGATGCATTTTTATAGTCCAGTCTGTGTCAATAGAGGTAACAAAGAGAATCCAATTTAAGGAAACTGGGGAATGAGCACCCAGGGCTGCTGATGACAGGACCAGGTCTCTACATTCCCAGCTTGGAATCCACTGCTCTTTCCCCAGTGCTTTCTGAGCAGGAGCCCAGCTGGTTGTCAAAGAAGCTGACTCCACAACCTGGGGACTCGATATGACACTCAGCTCCATCCTTAACCCTAAAAAATATGATATCTGATTACTACTGCCAAAAGCTATTCATAAGCAGATGTGTCAATAACTAGAGACATAAAATTACATTTCGTAGGAGAGATTAAGACACCTACCCCAAAATCTATGGAGACCTTTTCCAACAAACTACCTTTGCTTGTTTTAGGGAACAAAATTGGATTGTGAAAAGAGCCTTGTTTGTACATATGCTGTTGATTTGTCTTTTACTTGCCTAATTCATATTACAGTTTATTGCCAGCTACTCCAGCAATAGTTCCTGTTCCTCAGATTTAAGAGATATTGATTTCATAATGTATTGTCACAGTTCATCCTATTTTACTTTATGAAAAAATAATCATGTCAATTGATCTGTTCCCTGGTAAATAGCTGGCTAAAGTATGGTACACTCTAAGGACATCCAGAATCAGCATCACTTTATTCTCAGCAATCCTTTTGAAAGTTGACAAAGACCCTGTAAGATGTGAAATGACAAAGGGTCACTTAAAATGATTATTTCTGAGCAAGTCTTCAGTCTAGTCTCTCTGTTATTTCAGTCCCAGGACGGCTTCCTGCTCCCCAGGGTTTCTGACACACTCAGGATGTGGGTTACAACACTGTGTGTTGCACAGTAATAGACCGCAGAGTCCTCAGAAGTCAGGCTGCTGAGATCCATGTAGGCCGTATTGGAGGATGTGTCTGCAGTCAGTTTGGCCTTGTCCTGGAACTTCTGATTGTACTCAGTATTACCATTTTCAGGATCAATCCATGCAATCCACTCCAGGCCCTGGCCAGGCCTCTGCTTCACCCAGTGCATATAGGTATCAACGATGTCGAAGCCAGAAGCCTTGCAGGACAACTTCACAGAGACCCCAGGTTTCGCCAGCTTAGCCCCAGACTGCTGCAGCTGGACCTGGGAGTGGACACCTGTGGAGAGAAAGGCAGAGTGGATGTCATTGTCACCTCAGTCCCTGTTCCTTCTTCAGGTTTGGAACTGGAAAGCCCCTTACCTGTAGTTACTGACAGGAGGAAGAGGATGATCCAGCTCCATCCCATGGTGAGGACCTGTGTGCTCAGTGACTGTGGAGAGAACAGTGGTCATAAGCTGTTTTGGAGCGTGGAAATCCCTGAATTTACTACCATAGACTCAAGTAATTTGCATATTCATGAGCAGAAGATTTCTCAGATAAGGACCTAGTCCGGCTGCAGAAGGAGGTAAAGGACCCTTGGGTCAGGCAACTTGATGCTGAGAGCCAAGTCCTAATCTTCTCTGAGTAAATGTATAACATGCTCCTTCCCTGAGCCCTGTGCAGATGCTGAGCATATAACATCAGGACCTAAGCTCTCAGTAGATGTGAGGCCTGAGGCAGCTGCTCCACTTTGTGACAAGTTTGTCAGATTGAATTACAGATGGTGGTTGTGATGATGGTGGTGGTGATGGAAAATTTAAAACCTGCTGAGTTATGAGAATTTACAATCTCCTTATAGATATATGCAATTAATAGTTGCCTTTCCAACATATTATATACTAAGAAACTCACCAAAATGATCAAAAGTAGATATACTTCAGAAATATTTGCACAATGATTATTGCAGCAACATCACAATAACTAAATAATGGAATTAAACTATGTATCTGTCAACAGAAGATTTCATCAAGAAGATGATATAAACAACAGAACAGAAGTTTTTCATCTTCAAGGAATATGTAATTTACATCAGTTATAAAAATGGATTAAACTAGAGATAAATGCATTAAGAGCATCTCAGAAACAGTGACATTAAATGAGACTCTCATTAGGACTTTATAGATACTGCATACTTACATACAACTATGAATGCATACACATAATGATGTATGTAAAAGTGAAATTGCCTAGTATAATAAAGGTAAAGTATGGTGGGAAAGGAAATAAAGAGCAGAAATTATGAGGGAAATATACACAGTGTACAAAATATATTTATGACAATTCTAAACATATGTAAAATTGTTCTTTTTAAATTTCATAATTTTTATTCTTTTAATTTTTAATTCATGTATAAAATATATTATGATCATATCTACCCCTAGTATGCCCATCTTACTCCTCTTGGGATCTTCCAATAAGGTTTTCTCCCAACTTCTTGACCTCTTTTGTTTCATTAACTCATAACACTGTGAGTCCAGTCAGTACTATCTATGTACATATAGATGGGTTCATTCACTAATATATAGGAAACCTCCAGAAACCTTTCAAAGAAATTTGATTATATTTTCCTCATCATTCACCATATGCCAATAGATCCTCATCAGGGTGTAGGGCCTCAGGAGTTTCTCTTCATCCAAGTAAGAATTTTAAAAATTGTTATATTATCTTTAGTTGTGAGAAAAAGGAACATGTGGAATTCAGTTTTTGTATGCTATCATATTGGTCCAAGCAATCAAACTAATAATGCTAACCTTTGCATAGACCTTTGCATAACCTTTCCTTTACCTGCCCAGGTATTTCACAAGCTTATATGCTGTAATTGTGATTGGCTTGTTTTGCTCAGGTCTTGGGCTGATAACTATAGCTGCTGTGAGTTCTTTTGCATTATGGCCATGCCAAGTCCTAAGATAGAATTCCATGACTAGCTACTTCATATTCTGTATCTTACATTCTTTCCAGTCTCACCTACATTGTGATTCTTCCCCTTTGGTGGGAGGATGATGTAGATATAGTACTCATCTATGGCTGAGTACTCCGTCATTCTTTTTTTTAATTATTTATTTTATAATTTAATTTAAATTTATATATCAGCCATGGATTCCCCTGTCCTCCCCCCTCCTGCCGCCTCCCCTGCCTTCCCCCCAACACACCCCCCAATCCCATCTCCTCCAGGGCAAAGACTCCCCTGGGGATTCAGCTCAACCTGGTAGATTCAGTCTAGGCAGGTCCAGTTCCCTCCTCGCAGGATGAGCGAAGTGTCCCTACATAAGCCCCAGGTTCCAAACAGCCAGCACATGTACTAAGGACAGGTCCAGGTCCCACTGCCTGGGTACCTCCCAAACAGTTCAAGCTAATCAACTGTCTCACTTATGCAGAGGACCTGATCCAGTTGGGGGCTCCTCAGCTATTGGTTCATAGTTCATTTGTTTCCATTAGTTTGGCTATTTGTTCCTGTGCTTTTTCTAATCTTGGTCTCAACAATTCTTGCTCACACAATCCCTCCTCCTTCTCGCCAATTGGACTCCTGGTACTCCACCTGTGGCCTGGCCATGGATCTCTTCATCTGCTTTCCTCAGTCATTGAATGAGATTTCTAGCACGACAATTAGGGTGTTTGGCCATCCTATCACCAGAGTAGGTCAGTTTGGGCTTTCTCTCGACCATTGCCAGTAGTCTATTATGGAGGTATCTTTGTGGATTTCTGGGGACCTCTCTAGCACTTTGCTTCTTCCTATTCCCATGTGGTCTTCATTTATCATGGTCTCTTATTCCTTGTTCTCCTTCTCTGTTGAGTACTCCGTCATTCATTCTCGACACTTTGACCAGTTGTTAATGTTTGCATTGATCATTACACGGCACACAAAAGCTTCTGTGATCATGGCTTAGAGCAGCATTAATATAAGTGTTAGAAGGCTGTAGCACAAATCTTAAAAGGTCTTATTAATAAAAACAAACCTGAAGCCAGGTATTGGGGTGAACACTGAAAGATCAGAGAAACAGAACAAGCCACAGCTGACTTGACCCTGCCAAAACCTCAGCTAATCTTGTTTCCTCAGACTGAACGCCTCTGAATCCTCATCTGAATGGATCTCAGGTGAACTACTGCTAAAAGCTAAAAGCTTAAAAAGGTTCTAGTTCCTGATCCTCACACCTTATATGCCTTTCTGCTTCCTTCCATCACTTCCTGGGAATAAAGGCATGTGTCACCAAGCCTGGCTGCTTCCAGTGTGGCTGTGGACTCACAGAGATCCAGAGGAATCTCTGCCTCTGGAATGCTAGAATTAAAGGCATGTGCTACCACTGCCTAAACCTATGTTTAATATAATGTCTGTTCTGTTCTCTGACCCCCACATAAGTTTATTGGGGTGCACAATATATTAACCACATAAGGCAGTTGACAACATGACCATTAGCAATACAATAGGATCTAGTAAGACTGTTTTCCATATCCATGGGTCTTTGAACATGTTTACCTTGGATAAATCTTTCCTATGGAGCAGGATACAAATCGAATTAAAAGGTAGTTGGTCACTACATGACAGTCAGGCACTAGTGGATACATCTTACCTGAAGACTGATATTTCAATCTGCACTGTGTAAGATCATTAGTGTCTTTTCTCTCCCTGTAGGCTGTGTAGCACCTTCCTGCCCTAGGAAACCTAGAATGCAGGGAGAATTTCTGGTTCGGTTCACGGTTGGTTTCTCTATGTCCTGCAAACAAAGTCCTTAGCTAATAGTGAAATGCAGATTAAAACATCTTTAATGCTATATTTTTGCCTCAGTTAGAATAAGCACAAAGAAGAAAACAAATGACACCAAATGCTGGCATGGAGTGGGAGGGAGTAACCCTTGTTCACCCTTGACAGGAGTGCAAACTAGTGCAGTGACTTTGGAAATAAGTTTGAAGTTCTCACCAAAAAATAATGAATAAAATAATGCGTCATCCCACCTATCCCCCCAAGAATGTACTTAAATGACACGACATCTTATTACAGAGACACTTGCACATCCATGTATGTCACTGCTGTCCTCACAGCATCTGGGAAATGGAAGCAACTTCGGTTCCCAACACAGAATAAATAGGTAGTGAAAATGTGGGACATATAAATAATGGAATATTACTCAGGGGTAAAGGATGAATCATAAAATCTAGAGAAAGTGAATGGACCTGGAAAAAATATGCTGTGAGATCACCCAGATACAGAAAGACAAATGCTCTGTATTTTCTACTATGAGTAGTTGTCAATTGGAATGTTTAGGATTGTGGGATTAATTGTAGAAGCCAAGAGACTAGAAATGTGTCATTGGGGTCTTGGGAAATAAGGGAAAAGATACATTAAACGTTGAGATAAAATGAAAGCAGATAGGGTAGCTAGTAGAGACCTAAATCTTCAAACATGAAGTGGTGTTGGGAAATGGAGAAATGAGGGTTGAAGTCAGCTAAACCAATATTAAGGGTAAAAAAGCTATGTTGAAATCTAGGAACTTGCAATGTAAGTGATAAATATGACTGCGGAGGACATCGAATACATGTGGTACAGCAAAACAAAGGGGGGCTGGGAACCAAGGAAAGTGCACTGTGGAGTAAAGAGATGCCAAATTACAATGTTATTTCTGTAACAAAATGTCTGGAAATTATGAACAGTTTATAGTTGCCTAATTTTACATTTAAGATTTTATTAGTGCTAATAGAATAAATTTGAATTCAGATTTTGGTTAAGTTTTATGCATCTGTTGATATAATATGTTTACCAAAAATAATAACTTTAAGAAAAGGGTACACAAAGCTGGAGAGATGGCTAGATAAGAATTTCAGTGTAGTTATTAGTACTGCCTCAGTGGTCTGGTGCTGACCGTTCTCTATGGTTATGTGAGATTATGCGTACAGAAAGCTGAGCAGAAAGTACATGGATATGATTTGTACCTTAGTTTCACTTCAGAGTCTTTGCACACAGGCACCTGCACGGGTGGACACCTCGGGTCCAGGCACAAGACGACTCCATATGAGTCCATGGTCACAGTGGCTCCGCGGGTGCTCAGAACAGCATGACGTAATGACAGCGCTTTGGGTTGCCTGTGAAAACTCTCTAATTAGGTCTCATTTCTGAGCATTTAAAATCTGAATAGATTGTAAGAGTCAGAAAGGGGGTGTAGGACTCCAAGCAAGCTGTGTTCTAGACACAACAGGAATAATGCACATGCAGACTCACGGAGACTATGACATCATGCACAGAGCCTAGAGCCCCAGTGTTGACAGGGGGACATGGACACTGGCTCTCACCCTTAATCAAGAAGTTTCTATAAATAATGAAAGCATAGTATTCATTCACAGAATCTCATTGGGTATATCAACCACACTTAAGGACTGACACATTCCCACGTGTAGAAGGACAACA